TGCATTAAAGGATTTCAATAAATCATTAGACATTGAACAAAATAATGTTTCTGCATTGGAAAATAGAGGAGCTGTCTATTTAGAATTAAAACAGTATGATGATGCATTAAATGATTTCAACAGATTATTGGAAATTGAACCAGATAATGCATATGCATTGAAAGGAAGGGGAACTGTCTATCTGGATTTAAAACAGTATGATAACGCATTAAATAATTTTAATGAATCATTGGAGATTGAACCAGAAAATCCACATGCATTGAGTGGAAGAGGAGCTGTCTATCTAAGCCTTAAACAATATGAAAATGCATTAAAGGATTTAAACAGGTCATTGGAGATTAAACCAAATAATGCATGGGCATTGAAGAATAGAGGAGCTGTCTATCTAAGCCTTAAACAGTATGGCAATGCATTAAATGACTTCAATGTATTCTTGGAGATGGAACCAGATGATGCCTTTGCATTGGGAAATAGAGGGACTGTCTATCTACATCTAAAACTGTATGGCAATGCATTAAATGATTTAAACAAATCATTGAAAATTGAACCACATGATGCCTTTGCATTGAAAAATAGAGGAGCTGTCTATCTAGATCTAAAACAGTATGATGATGCATTAAAGGATTTAAACAAATCATTGGATATTGAACCAAATGATGCATTTGCATTGAGAAAAAGGGGAGTTGTCTTAAACAGTATGGTAATGGAAGTTGACTGAACCAATGGTAGAGATGTCAGGGATGTTTGTTTAGATTTAAATTAGTATGGTAATATATTAAATGATTTCAATAAATACTATTGACATTAATATAGCTGCTGAATTTATGACAACTGAATTTATATACTAATACTCTTGCATATAATTATATGTAAAGTCCTAATGCAAAGTTACTGCTGTTGTTAACTTTTTTTTTACAATTCTTCTACTATAAACAAAAAGAGAGCATGTTAACTTGCTTTCCATAAATGGCAAAATGACAGTATTGTAGAAAAAAGGTCACTCTGTTTACTTAGCATCATTATAAATGAGAATATTTTAGGAACATCATGCTTGTCAGGCGTCGAGGCAATAGTCACGGGAGAGCGGATAACTACTGTCTCGGTTTGGAATCTAGCTGCGCCGCGTCGTAGGAGTGTGGCTTACCTCAGCGGTAGCTAAATCGTAACAAACAGTAAGTGACCTTTTAAATTAGGCATTTCAGTGCTGACGTATTCATATACGGATCGCACACACTAAGCCTAGACAATTAATTATTCTCGAGAAACGAAACTACTCTACCGGTGGATTAATTCGGTAGTCTGTAGGTCGGGGTTTTAATAAGAAAATAACGCGTTGAGAAATAGTAATTAACTATCCTAATGCCACTCGATCGATCACGGGACAAGTATTATGACCGATCTTGCCGTTATACGGATTAATGCTTTAAAAATATAACGGATTATTCAGGAAAAAATTGATACTCGTTTATTAATAAGAAATAAAGGAAATCGAATGTCTTCAATATAAGAAATTTGATATTGAACTTGAACTAAGATGCAAACACACCGATGCTAAGTCTATCCTACGCTGCTTTTATATTTTCGGACTGACTAATTAATCTATTTTTAGCATCGGATCTAATCTATTAATTAATAATTACTCTCTAGATTGTCACTACTCTCTCTCCTTGCTGCCGTACTGTGCTGCTATCCAGCGCTTCTATCCAGCGCTTCCATCTGACACTTCCGTCCAGCGCTTCGTCCGGCGCTTCAGTCTAACGCTTCTGGTGCAACATCTCTAGAATTAGTACGACCGCTTCTGGTACAACGTTATTCTTGGTACCACCGTTACAACTCTATCGCCAATTCCCTGAGATTCTGGTGGCACTAGCGGGTTTTACAAAAATTTAGGAAGGAATACGTCACCCGTATACGCTTGCGTCATCACACTGGACACATATTGTCATTTACTTGTTCATAAAAAAATAGAAGAGGTCACGGCAAGTAGTCAGCAACTTTGTAAGCTAGCAACCCAAACTCATACTCACTGAGAATTTACTGAAGCATCTACTGTTTTTCTTTATATTTAGTGCTTCATGATCTGTGCTTATTTATTATTTGTGGGTTCAAATTTTGCTAAATTTATCTTGAAATAGTGGGTTTGTATTTGTCATCTAAAACATTCAAATGTGAACAATAAGATTGTTTAAATGTTTACCCAAGAAAAAAGTAAGTTTCAAAGCGTCTTGTCTGACGTCGATGAGCAAGTCGCAGCAATCAAACAATACCCCTGACGATCAATTAATTAGATGTTACTCGGAACAACGCGAGTAACGAAAATTGGTGACAACTTTGAACACAAAATTTAGCCAAGAATAGAAAGTAACGCGATCATGGTAACTGTGTGGGAAAGTTAAAAAATACGCGCTCTGTGGCGTAGAAAAGATAACGCGATTTTGGTGACAGCAAATGTATATAAGGACCCCGTCCCGACCGCCTAAAATCCTCATGTTTGTAATGATGTTGTGAAATAAATAATATTCGATGCTGAAGTATTTGGATATAATAAACGATTAGTCTGGTCATTGTCCTTCAATTATTACGAAATTTTTTTACTTTTATCATTTCTATTTCTATCGTCGTGAAAACTAAGCTTTTTGACTTAACTATCAGTAGTAGATCGGTAACGACCCGTAGTTGCGGTAAAGCAAGAGTATTCCGAACGATATTAAATTATTGTTTAATTAGATAAATTACATTCCTGACTAGTCAAAATCCTAAATCAAAATTTGCTTTTGTTAGAGTCAGTATTAAATTTTTTCCTTCGATTCTGCGATAGATAGATTGTTGTTGTTTATTTATCGTAGGTACCCTTATTAGATACGAGTGTGGAAGAAATACGTCGTATAGGGAGTGAAAACGAAGCGCGCACATAAATATTATTGTCACTTTTCAGTTTAGTTCAGCCTTGAGTGAGCAATCGTTGTAGTAAGGGCAGCGTTAAGAGCTAAATTGTGAAAAACCCTCTCGGCAGAACACACCTACGCAATTTAATTGCCGCCCGTAACATTTTTAGATACCTTTTATATATAACTAATCTATCCAGAAATTAGTTATGTAGTGACATCCTGATAAAAACCTTGACTATGTTTCTGGTAGATACAAACAGCAAGTCTTTGCCAGTTGGTCTGTGGTTTACAACATTAACTTTTGAGTATAAGTAACTTTTTACATCCATCAAAGTGAAGAAAAACGGCCAGTTTGATTTGGCACCACATCCTCTTTGTAATGACACTTTTTTGAACGGTAGCTTTTGGTTGACTTGACATGGCCTTCTTCTATGCTACAGTACTAGTACAGTATTTCCTACTAATACTAATATACATATTAATATAACGTAAATTGAATAAAATGTAGTCATGCACATAGAAACGAATCCAATTTTTTATTTATTTAAATAGAAAGCGTTTCCATGCTCTTACATGAGAACTTAACAGCCAAAGTATATAGAATATGAATAACATAACATAAACCATTTAATAACATTGAACAGCTGTGGTTACAGTTGATCAAAAATTTGGGTCACTAAATCATAAGTAATGGATTATGTTAATAGTGTAAGTAGACTTCATTGACAACCAGTTACTGACTTTCATACCTGCAGCTGAATCCAAATTGTGGCTATTTTTTGGTTTAGGCAAATTTCCTGTAGGTAAGATTTTACTAGAGTATTTATTCTCCTTCTCAAGACGTGATAAAGGTTTTACATCATTGCAATAGATGGTATTCCATATTTGGTTGTCAGAATCATCCTTACTTAACATCACAATAAATTTTTGAAAATACTGCCAATAAAGCATCTTGGCATCTGGACGCTTATCAGGATCTGCATCACAACACAACTCAGCAATCTTTCTGTATTCCTCTGGTGCTGAATCAGGCATCATTGGTCGCAGTCCACCCATGATATCACATGCTAAGTTCCTATCAAATTCTCTATCTCTAAATGGTGATTCTCCAGTGGCCATCAAATACATGATAATACCAAAAGAATATATGTCTGATTTATGAGTAAATTTGTAAGTATGGAAGACTTCTGGTGCAATAAAGGGTAAGACACCTTTAATATTAATAGTTGAATTTTGTTCAGGTGAATTCACTGATTGAGAAAGACCAAGATCACATATGAGTGTATGAAAACCTTTTGTTGCCACAGTATCAGATGTGTTATCATGTAAGACAATGTTTCCACCATGAAGATCACAATGTATTAATCCTATAGTATGAATAGCATACAGATAGTATGCAATATCCTTTAGATGCTGTAGTGACATCGCTCGAAGATGTGTACAACCGCGGCGGCATTTTTCATGAAGACTTCTCATATTGCAGTCTTTATTATATCCGCAATGATTTTCCTGCGTGGTGTGATCTGGGTAATGCTAACAAGGTATTGATTTGATAAATGGAAAACCTATATCCAACCTACATCCATGATGTGCACTCGTCTAAGATAATTAATATTAGTATTAATATTAATATTCATATTTATACTAATAGTAACGGTAATATAATAAGATTTAATAAGATTCAGCTGGAAAGATCGCCTACAAAAGTTACTTAATATGAAGGGTTTTTGAGATTAGTACAGAGTGAAATCTACCTATTAACATTTGGTAAACAACTGTAATCAGTATCACTTTTATTCAATAAATCTCTCTAAAATGTCTACAAACATGTTCAATTTCCTCTCTCTCGAAAAATTTAATGAATCAGTTGATGAATATTTGACTTCAAACAAAATTACACGACAATACGGAATTTAAAAATAACAATAAATTCATTACTATTTTACTTAAAACTTTACTGTCGTTGATCACATGACTATCGATGAGTCACTGGTTTTATCCGGCCCGAGCCGTAGGGGAGGTCGACTGTAGGTTATTCGGGCGTGTGTAACAGTAACTAACCAAATTTTCAACGAGATTTGAATGGCCCGTGTTGTCGAATGTAAAATTAATATGTCATCCACTACTGATAACAATAACACCAAGTATACTACAGAAAGTGACCAGATAACGTCGTCTAAATCGAACGAGGATAGCTCCAATGCTAATAAAAAATTGATCGTAGACGCCGATTCGATACGACGAATCCAGTCATTCGAGTACTTTCGACATTTTACAGATCAAAAAATACGACCAAATGGAAGGGTATTCAATCGGTTCAGAAAACCCACATTGAATCTAGGTTTTTATCCTTTTTTTTTCTCTTCTTTTACGGTCCGACAATTATCGATCCGGGTGATTCCTATTTTCTGTCTACTTAAGCTCGGTCACTACTGCAGACGGTTTGGCGGTGGTGAGAATCGGAAACACTTCTGCTATCTGTGGCATCAAGGCAGAAGTTGCAGAACCAAATGTAAACACGCCACTGGAAGGATACCTCGTTCCCAACGTGGAATTACCACCAATGTGCTCTCCCAACTTTAAGCCCGGTCCTCCAAGTGAACTTGCACAAGTACTAAGCGAGACTGTGAACAAGCTACTCAAAGGTGTGAGAGGTGGGAAGGCTATCTCGTCAACGTCGTTCGAGTGAGAAATTTACAGACTTGATTTTTTAGTTCTTCCGTATTATCGTTAGAGTCATTATGTATAGAAGAGGGGCAAGGCTGTCTGGGTATTGTATTGCGATGTCGTCTGCATAAATTACGGATGGCAACATTTTAGATGCGTCAGTCTATGCGGTTGTGAGCGCGCTTAGCAATGGTAAGTGTTTGCAATAATAGACTATGGAACTGCGTTCACACATCAGATTGTACAGTTTTAATCCATGGTTTATGCTCATAGCATTGTCATTATCTAATGTCTAACACAGTAAGATTGCCCAACATAACGTACGATGACGGCATTGTTAAAGCAACCCCGGATAAGACGATCAAACTGCCGTTATCAAGAATACCTTTTTCGGCAACATTTGCAAAGATAAATTTTAAGATGACTGTTACTTATTGAAAATGTGATATCTACTCGCTGGACCAACCAACATACCTAACGCTAGGCCTCCTGCGCTTGTCCCAATAGCAGTCATTCTCGACTTTGATGAATATCCCGAAAGTATAAGATATTCGACTGCCGTGATTATATCGATAAATGTATTCTTTTTTTTCATTGCTCGTCCATCTTCGTACCATTCGTGTCCCAACTCGCCTCTCCCTTACAAATTTTGTCTAGTCAGTTGGATTACGCGTGATATATGCACTTTTCTGTGTTCTTTTACCTGACATGTGCCAATGCAATGATCCAATTTCTCTCTACCAGAGGTAAATGTTCAACATGAAAGTCTGGTTCTGTCGGTAATCCGTACGCGCCGTATGTCCTGAGCAGTACGGGATTCCTGCATTTCACATTTGCGTGAGGGACAGGGAAGATAAAATGGAATGTTTACATACACGTATAACACATATTTCGAACAATACCTTCCATCTAGTTTTAAGCCTTTCTTGTGTATTAGCGTAATGGGTATTTCCGTACCATCAATTCCCTTGGCATAAACTCGATAGCAATCGTACCAAGTAGGATCAAAACCTAATGAATTCAATACGATATGATAAATTATATAATCTGTAACATCTTTATCATGACATTTGGATTATATGGCCTTACGGTGAATAGAATGCGATCTTATGATATTTAATACCCGCGTCTCCATGTTGTATTCAAGTGTTGATTCATGAGTTAGCGGAGTCGTGCAATGAAACTGGACAATGTCCGTATCGTGATCCTATTGATGTGTAGTTATGTGTAAGTCAATGACATTATTGGGGCTAACAGATCTTGAACGTTTTGTATACGTTCTTACTAAATTATTTCCGGGAGAAATCGTGCAATATGTCATCGGCAATTCGACTTTATGAATTTCGCAAGTACGAAAATCATAACACAATATTACAGGAAGGCCTTCTCTCTTCGCATATATGATGATAAATTTCTGCAAGGGTTTGTAAGTCACAACCAATGAGAAACCAGTGAACAGTGTTGATATCTAGTAATATCGAGTCTGACACTCGATATGAACGACATAAATGCACATACACGAAAGATATCAATAGCCTGTATCTTCTCATTCTTATTCATAAGAATCACGTCCTCCCAGAATCTTTCACTCGTGTGAGGTTGCCTTGCTCGTGCTAATTTAAAGTTCTTGGCTCCATTGGCGTTCGTTAGAATGTAGAGGTAGTCCTAAGTGGATATCAGTCATCACATATTGTTTGTGGAAGATAACAAGTATGTCACACATTATCTTCACATTCGTACATCATGATGGTCAACGTAATATTCCAAGTCGGGCTTTCGCGGCTCTATTAGTTGAAGCGCAGGAGGGCCATCCGACACATTGTGATATGCGTCAAAGACATGTACTTCGGAAGATGTGAGTGTGCTCGAATGAATAGTAATCAGTTTCTGTGTACGTGACAACTTAATTAGCAATCTTTGCATGTACCAATTCAAAGACGCTGTGCACAAATTTACCTTATCTTTCGTCAAAGTAATATCGAGAAGAGCAGATTCATTTGTTTCATTGTATATGAGAACATCGTCTGATTGCCCAGACCCGATTTTATGTGCATAAACCTACAGTGTTATGATGATATTATATAGTCGAGTCTAATAATAGCGTGCTGATAAAATTCACGCGCGTAATTACCCACTCTACAAGGTCGTAATTGCTCGTCAGTCATTGTATAATAAACGTATTTGTTATTAGCGCTCCATACAAAGTTGAAGACGCCATGTAGCTCTTCCTAAAAAAAACAAGGGCAAAAGCTCTTATTAAAAAGTCCGATTACACGGACAAAACTATTTGCAATAACAACCTGAAGGATCTTGTTTGTTGTAAGATCTTTGAAATAAAGCGAACCAATTTCCATGCCATCTTCCTCAAGGAGATAAGAGAGCATATTGGTATCTGGAGATAAAAGTATCGATCGAACACGCTTGCCCGTATTTGCAATATACCGTGAATCAAATAAAACCGTCTAACACAATATGAATTGAGCGGTCAGATATCATGCTAAAAAGTGAACAAGAAATCATCATAGTTCCTTCAGATAGCCAAGCCATCATACCTCTGTTGCACCGGGTTCTTTTTTTCGCCAATAATACACTCGCCCGTTCTTTAAATTACGCGAGTAAAATTCATACCCATTTACTACTGTTTTAAGAGGAGGCATTAGCCTTGTAGTGATAAGTTTCTGTCGCATTTCCTAATATATATCATCGGATCAGAAAAAATCTAACGACGGACCAAGTGCGTAATCGGCGTGTGAAAAGATCTTACGGTGACTAGACGCTTTTGTAATACTTTTGCAGGTTTCATCATTTGTTTTGCGTATCTGTAGTAAATAAATGTCGTGAGAATGTGGACGTAAACATTGCTTCCCTGCTCATGCGTATTTGCAACACCTACCTATTCTCAGCATCAATATAAGCATTCACATCCTAAAAGAATAGTCATTATGAATGATGCTGCGTCTTCCATGTATTGTCCCGACGTCACAAAATCACTACGTTTTAAAAATTCTCACAGGATCCTTACTGTCCTCTAGCCATCGATATTCGTCAACGCGTTTAATGCCAAAGTAATTCTCTTCGAATGGGATTCTTTTCGCTACTGGGGGACGCAAATTTCTACCTAATGGTTAGTTAGCTATCAATCCCCAGTCAAAACGCGGAATTAGATCATGTAATAGATACTTGAAAACAGAGAGTTAATCTTCTTGGCAACGAGCAAGGGATGTAAACGTGCAATATGTCGATTCATTATGAGAGACACGGAAAATTTTAGAAAATGCACAAAATACCGGTATGTTGTAACTGTTGTACAAAGATTATCAGTATCAATTGTAATATACTAATACTATATATAAATAACAATAATTACTTATCACGTGCTATTTGGATGCGTACACGTGACAAAACGTAAATAGCACCAAATACAAAGCGATATCCTTCTGTTTACCTTGCTTTCTATCGGTCTCATTATATTCTTGTAACGACATGACAGGTTGGGAGATAGGTGAGTTACCAAATTGCTTGGAATTTCAACGCATACCCTTTTATTGGTGTATAATTTGTACGTTGGGATGGTGACGACGCGCTAACAAGTTTTTCGTGACCTTATAATTGCAGAAGAGTCGGAAATCTGTCAGCTACATAAAGTTATAGATAATTTGGTAGAAAAAGTAGAACACTTGAACTTTATAGTGCACGAAAAAGATGAAGAGATAGAAAGCCTCCAAAATCGGGTAATGCAACTAGAGAAACTGGATATCAGTTCGCGTTATAAGCACGCCGATATCCTAAAAAATGACAGCAGTAGCAGTAATGGCCACAGCAGCAACGACAGCGACAACAGCAATGGTAACAACGATGGTATCAGTAGCAACGATGGTGACAACAGCAATAGTAGCAGCAACAGTGATGCCGGTATGAATGCCGGCGAGAAAGCAGAAGACAATGACTCGAAAAAAGAAATCGAGTGGATATGTTCTCATAAACCGTTTACCAAGGTCATGCCTAAATGTACGTATGAGCTCTGCATAAACGTGGCACGAGTTTGTTTATCTAATGTTATTGTATCGAAGTTACTCTTGCATTCAATCTAATGGTTTCTCTGCTCTTAGTCGCAAAACCGCAAAAGAGCTATAAAGTAAAGAACAGGGTATACGTGGGTGGCTTGACCACCCAAGTGACGAAAGAAGCTCTCTACGTAGAACTTAACCTTCTCTTCGGCGAGGTCGTTGATATACAGATACTATATCATAGGGTGCGTATTCTAGACGACGTGCAATATCATTGTTCGATACTGGTAAATAAGTATTACTGACTCTCTTGTCTATATGTAGTGGTGCGCCTTTGTGGAGTTTGCCCAGCCGTCTTCTTGCAGCAAAGCACTAGCAAGAGGGCATATAGAAATAAACGGTCTATATTTATCAATAAACAAGGTTCTGAAAAAAACAAACAAGCATGTACACAAGCATCATTACGAAAAGTTTTATTGACTGCTGGCCATGAAATAGAATACAGTTTGAAATCGTAAGACAAGAAAACGGATCAGCGTCAGTCGGGTGCGTTGAAGACTATTTGCATACCACGTACAACACATATTACTATGGTAAATGTCACAGAAGACATTGTGCAAATATTTGAACATCTCTCATAATCGTCTAGTTGTTAACACCAATACTGTCATATGTATACGCTGTTGATCCAGCGCGATATTGCTTATAAAAACCAAAGTCTCTTTAGTATAATAAATCTGTAATCTGTAACATTTCGAATGAGGTATTTTGCACATGTAAATCGATGAAATTGTTGGAGAAAAGACTTTTGCAAATAGAGAATGATTCAAGTAGGCAGTACGATTACGATGTGGAATACTAAAATTAGGGCACGGAACGTTTAGGTGTCTTTTTTCTATTTGGCTATAGATACTAGACAAGGGTGTTTTCGTTTATCAGTAATAGTAAGCTTAAAATGAAAGCTTTAATAGAAATAAAACGCGTCGCACGACTCGCAAACAATCGTATTTGATTGCGGGTATGTTTCCAAACGAATTGAAGGCAGCAAAAAGCATCTCAAGTCAGATATATGAAACTGCTAAACAAATGACTAACCCGCCAGGAAAATTAAGTGATGAAATATTCTGTTACCAGGTAAATCTTTGTGTAACAGTATGAATGAGGATGGAAAACTGTAAAATTATACTTATTACACCATGTCCTCCCTCGTCGACCATTTAATCCAGCTCAGTGACATTCTCACAATATCAACCACCTCAGCAGTCGCTTCCTGGGATCTCGCCTTTCTTAAACGCGCTCTGTTTCACGCCTCGTCTGTAGAAGTTGATCTATTGTACTATCCCGAGGATGAAACAGAGAGTGCATACCGGGAAGTGGTGGAGAGAGCGAAAAGTCAGAAACGATGCCCTCCGCAACCGTATGCCGAGTTTACCATGGCATATCGCGAACTCTGTCGGCGATTGCTACGTAACAGGTATCTGAAAAAGGAGCTGTACGCGGTTTTATTGAACGAGTATCGGTTTCAGATTGATGGGTTAATGGACATTAAAGAAAACATCTCTCAGGCAAGGTGCATTACAACAGAGAGAAACTGTGTGATTAAATATTGGGACAATTTATCGCATGGAACTACCAATACTAAACGTACCGTGATGAATAGGACGTTCAAGCATGTGGCAAAACCGCTGCTGTTTCTGATCTGCTCGCGGATATTGAAAACACTTTTCGCGAAGAAATCGCTCAATTACCACACAATCCAGCAGATAGTCGAGTAGTCATAGCAGGTGAAAAAAAAAAAAAAGACTCACATGTCGTTCATGGAAGCTTTTTATCATATTTATTATGTGTGACCATCATGCTTACAACGTTTGTTCGAATATGACAGCGATCAAGTATAAACACCAGTTCGAGTTGTTATCAACTACAATCGAAAGACGCGCAGCAGCGAGACTCTTGTTAAAGGATTTCTGCCCGCTCTTTGCGAATGACAAGGCAGACACGTTTACGATAAAAGAACTCAAGAAAGAATTAAATATTATCGCATCGCATTCGGATGGAATGATGGTGATCAGAAGACTGGATGGATACTGTTGCTTACGTATCCATAAATATTTTATTTATGCCTCTGTTTCTTTCTCGTCGTATTAGGAAATCATCGTCCATGCAGCACTTTTGTCGGCACAAGCTAGCACAGAGAATATTCCTAATGAACTCTATGCGATCATTCAAGAATGGATTCTAGCAGTTGCAATGAATGAACGAAATTCATCTGTTTTGAAATCTCAGCTATGGACAGTACATCCTTGGTTGCTCGCTCAATTATCACTGTTCCTTCCTGCGTTCTTCAACATTTATACACAACACTTGATTCAATTCATTCGACAGTTACAAGCGCAAGGTTCGATCAGCACCGCGCGTTTACCGGATAATGAGGCAGAGCAGAACAGTGCAATCAATAGAATGCTCGAATGTTGGCAAGCACTCATATACCAATCTGACTTTTTGAATGAAAAGGTAACTGAGATACTTGCCGGGGAATGGACAAGATGCAACTCCCAAAGCGTCCCGGGGATGACTGTTATGAATACACACGTCTGGAAAGAGTTTTTTGCGCGTCTGGGCATATAAAATATCTTATTTTGGTCTAAGAGTGCGCTGTTCTCTCTTTCATTGATATATTGTCTATTTGTAATACAAGTATTATATATATATACGCCGATGAAGTTCATCTATACACAATGTTTTGAACGAGATTAATTGTTACTAGGAGGCTTCTAAGAATATTTCTTGCGACATTGTTAGTAATACTATCACCTATGCTCATAGTTACTAAGATAGTAAAAATAAAAATAAAAAAACGTCTTCGCTCGTCAACCTCATTAATTACACACAATCCGCACAATACATGCGCTATCACTAGCCTTGCATCACTCTGGTTTAATCTGCGAAATAAACTCTTCAATTAAATCCACGTTGGCATCACGTAAAATGTCTTTGAACGCCTCCGATTCCCGAACAATATTCCAATTCCTCCGTGCAAATCTATAGACAGCCCTCCTCAATTGTATTATATCTCTATCCCACGAAAACCGTAATAGCATGTCCCAAGTGTCCATATCAATTAAGGATGCCAGCTGAGCAAAGATCATTTCGATCAACTCGTGCATTGCATCAATTTCGAGTGTTTTTCGTAAATCGGCATCTTTGAACAGTTTCTGCAATTTGATTACTTTTTCAATTTGAGTCTCGCCTGTAATATCAACAAGTCTGCCCGCGTATAGATAATAGAGTATAGAATGAAAAGTATCATAATCGACGTCTTCAATAGTAACTGGTTTGCCTTCTTTGATTTCTTGTTTCCAATCATTTTTGATCAGTGTTTTAAAGTAATGTGATCTCTCGGCTAGAATAACCTGATGTGCGTGTATTGTACGTCCCTCCACGGAAAATTTAATGTCACTGAATGTCGAATTGTTCAAAGTCTGGGCATATGGTACGACACCGGAGCGTATCTTTATCGCCGCAAATTGATTTTCAAGATCATCAATATCGTCTCCAGGATTTGGCGTAATTATGACAACATGTACGATCAATGTGTCGTCTTCGACGCTATATTGGAGTTTAGGAGGCAATAATGCTTCGGCATCTTCGACGTTGTTATTTCCATTAGATGGATCCGCGGTGAGTAAAGTCTTTGAACAAAAGTTTGGCCATCCCCATGCGGGCTTTACTTTTAGAAAATCATGTCGCTCACTCCGCCTTTTTACTAGTCTGATCGTTCTTCTCTCGCCTTGTTGTACCGGTACGTAAAACCCGATGTAAAAGTTGACGTTCACCCGAGCCGAAGTTTGAGCATCGCCGGGGAAAATCGTTTCGAGATAACAACTGATATTGTTAGCAACACTTTCTGCGTTGCCATTGGGATGCAATTTTACGCGCCAGCTTACTGGAATATATGAAACCCCATTATCGTCGACTACACACGCATTGCAGGTCCACTGTGGACTATGCAGGCATTGTGGTTTAGGCGCGAGTTTCTCTATACAGCTAAACTGACGAATGAGCCATGTGTAGTTATTAATGACGCTTGTGCCTATGCGATTAACGTTCACTGAGCAGTCCATGTTTTTTTTGACGATAGAAGGGAGAAAGTTGGATAGAGTATCAGATAATTAGGTAATGCGTTACTTTATCTAATATGGGATTGGTTGGCATTACACTAACAAACTTGTGAAATATGTCACAAGTGCTGTTATGCATATCTTTATGGCAAAAAGAGGTCACAGGCGGTTATTGAAAAAAAACCGTCGCAAAGAAGAAACAAGCCCCGGAGATCGCCGGACGACTCTCCAAGATCTATCAAGATGTTGGAGCGTTTGAATTCGCAAAGTTCCGATCGGCACATTAAAAACTAGAACAAAGACAAAGAACAAAGACAAAAGTGTTACTCTCAACCATAATAGGAATGAAAGAGTTACCGTCTGCAAGGGAGATCTACTAATGCATCAATGCGATAGTCATATTACGTTTGACACAATCTTTATTTATGGCAGTAGTAGTAGTAGTGTTAAATTATTGATTAGCCAAATAGTTAATTGGTTGTGTTTGTTTCTGCAATACGTTAAAGTTTTTCATACTCTCTAATTACATTAGGAAAGCGGCTTTGTGTAGCGCGCTGATGCTTAGACTATCCCAAGAGGGCATCTCCTAATAGTGGTGTTCTGTAGTGTGAAACCTTGAGTCTCATGTATTATTAAAGCGAATGAATTTGTAAAGGAAATTGGGTACGCGATGCTTTCAGGAAGTGTGTTTTGGTATCCAATGATTGACTGTTGCATTTTGCACGCAGAATCTACTTGAACAGATAACGTATCTTTATCGAAATCAATAATGATTCCGATATAGATAATGACATTACAACTACCTTTTTATATTCAATAATTTTAGGGAAAATCGGTGTAGCAAGATGATTAAATAAAAGTACTAAATTCGGCCTCGAGTAAGTTGATGTGCGTTGCGCGTTGATCAGATAAAGATGCTGTGTTAAGATGAGGGTTTAAGTGAAGATAATGATTGCGATAAGATTCAAAGTTGCCGCGTAATTTACTTTTGTTACGGCAAGGTAACATGTCAAAGCAGCTGCTGATAGAAGAACATTTCTCCATCTTGTACCTGATGATAATCCTATTGGGACAATAGCATTGACAAATAGTTTGCAAGACCATTAGACCCTTATCTGTTACAAAATATCGTACAACAGTTTACAGAGAGAGCATTATTGTTAAATGAAATCACTTATAATACCAAGATTTCGTTATTTGATTAATAAAAAACATGAACCAGAATAAAGTGGTGAACAGATGTCACTGAATATACATAGCCGTTTGTTTAAAAAAAATTTAAAAGCACACATATATGACGTCGTATTTTTTACCAACAACAAAGATATGCTTCCCTTTTATTCGAGTATTGCGTAATGCTTCAGCAAAGTGACGTTTGAAATGCGAGTGGTTAGACAGAATCGTAAGGTTGTTGAATGAAGGTAAATTATGTTTTTACTTTAAATGGAAACCATAACCGCATCTAAGCTCAACTTTAACAACATTGCCTTGCTTAATGTCAGGTTATGTATGATACGTTGTTTTAATTTTTGTACGTTTTGGTTTATAAGTGTTTTCTAATATAATCAAACTTTGCGTCAAAGTTTGGTATTTTAGCATACATTATTTTTACCTTTTATACGTTTGGCTAATTCGCAGACAAATTAAAAGGATAACGCTTTACGCAAAGAACAAACCATTTTCCTAATTTGCGTATGACAATACGACTAATGGTTAGTAAACTAACATATTATAATTGATATGAAATGATGGGTTATATTACGTACGGCTTGATTCATTGGAAGAAACAATGAGGGGGAAAGCTTAATATGTTGCGTGTATGACAACAATATAGAGAAAGAGCCTGTTGCTATTGGATATCTCGAGCTGTGGCAAAAAAAGCAAAAAAATATCCACCATAGTGAATGAGCATTGAACAACTACTTGAAATAACAATCAATGTCACGTCTTTTTTTTTTGTTTAATGGCTTTAATAAATTGGGAAACGTTGACCGAATCAAGAGGTCTTGTACTATAAGACTGGCCAGTCGCGATATAGTGACGATTTATGCTACTTACATATAAACTTTACTATATTAGAAAAATTCGATATAGTAAATTCTCGATATAGTAAAGAAACACCCCCACTCCGTCGTCGACTGAGATTTGACTGTATATATTAAATCTAATACCAATATTTCAGATTTTTATTTTAACTTTAATGAATTTTATATTCAATATAAATTTCTATTCGGTAACCCTCTATTCTTTTACCACCTACAATTTCTATTGAATGAAATTCACATTGTTTTATCATTAGTTTCGTTTTTATGAAGCAACCCGCGTGAGTCGTGAGGCGTTCGTACTGAGTGAGCTCGTCGTTTTTGCTGCGTCCGGCAAAAACATTTTTACCGGGTTATTAGACATAAAACAGCAAGCATTTTAATATTTGGTTGGGTTAAGACATCGAGATTGGCGCCAGAAGAACTAGAGAAATGGCGATGTCAGCATTGTGCGGTTGATGGACATAATACAGTATGCCGTTAGTGCGAATGGAGCAAAGGTATATCATTATTATGGACAATATGGGTATTATTACGTCTGAACTCAATGAATTATTGCCTTTTCTTTTTTCTTTCTATGCATATATGTACAGTATATTCTAGACTTTGTGCAACGTTTGTGTTTGCGGACTATGCTGGATAACTAAGAATCAACTTCCACCTCATCGTAAAGACCAATATGCATAATACTGTAAATATTACGCACGATTCAACTCGCATAATAAACTATATACTGCATTGATAGATTCTCAAAGAAGTGGCGAACGATGGGCGGATGGATAATATTTTGTATATTCTAATAATATTAATTAATATTGGTTTTGCACGCGGTAATTTGAGTTACACAAACAAAGTTTATTTTTGATCGGAAAACCAACCGATTTTATGGCGTTAAACTATTAGAGGAGCGATAACAGGATTAATATATTCTCGAAAAAGTATAACCAATTATCTTCATATAGGTACATAAATCGTTATGACCACTTAGTAATAGTAAATACGTACGATAGCACTTTTGAAGAAAAATGGTTTCAACACTTTTCCCCCTGTAAATATTAAACTGTAACCTAAAAATAATAATAATAACGGAACCAAATATGTCCAAAAAATGCACTTATAGTGACACATGATCAAAAAACCACTGATACTTTTTGGTACTTTGCCGGGATAGCTTGGAAATAAAGTTGTATTAAAATCGTACTTTGTCGGGGTAATACAGTGTGAAGAAAAAAATTTTGGAAAACTTGAAACCCATGTTGCTCTGTCAATGTTGCACATATCAGCACATATCATATATCAAATGAAAGTTTGAAATAAGTAGATTTTATTGATATAAATTTAATAAGATATTTTGTTCCCCATTTTTCTCAATAACCTCTTTACAACGTCGCTTCATGGAATCTACTAAATTAATTAGAATGCTGACTGGGATAGCATTCCCATTTTTCTACCATAATCCTCTCCAATTGATCGAGATTCTTAGGCATGCGCCTTTCTGTCTCTCTTTTGACAATCGCCTAGAGGTTTTCAATGGGGTTAACGTCAGGACTGCTGGAAGGCCAATCCATGGTTTCTGGGACATTTTCCTTAACTATAAAAAATTTCTTAGCCATGCGACTAGTATGTTTGAGATCATTTCCTGTTGAAACCTCCACTTTTCCCACAGCATTCTGTTTACCTCTGGGAGATGTCTTTCTACTATTTCGACATAGAGTTTACTATCCATTATGCTTCAAACAGAAAAGACTAGTCTTTCCTTTTGATACAAAATCCTTCCCAAGCAAAAATCTTATGCCTGTCGTTTGGCATTAGGCGGACAGGCCTTGTATTTTTGTACCAACGTTTAATTGTGTTGTTAAACAATTAGAAGGCAGTTTCATCGGTAAAGATCGTCTTTTTCCAATTATCGTTAAGGTGACGACGTGCCATGCAACACGATTTTCTTTATGAGTTGATGTAGGCATTGGTGTTCGTAGGAATAGATTGCTTTTATAACCTTTTTTATCCCTTCGTTCCATAAATGTAATAGCGTTTGACACTGTGTTTCTTTAGATGATAGTGACATTTTAACTTTCAATTAAAAGAAACAAACTCAAACTAAAAGTTTGCGAGCAGCCCAACACGCTACAATTTGCATTTTTAATGACGCAATTTGGGCAACTTATAGTTACACGTGTACGAAAAACTCGGAATAATTTTCCAATATTTTTTTCTTCACACTGTATAAGAAGTAGGAAGCATATCATGTTTAATTTATTTAATTGTAACTATTGGATAAAGCTTGAATACCGTAAATAAGCCCGCTGAATTAAAAGTCTTCAAAAAGAGGTTGAGTTTCTAAATGCAGGAAATGCTCGGTGTTAACATTGTAAATTGACTTTATTTGTACCAATGCGTAACATACCTGCAGCTGACTCGCTATTTCTCGGTTTAGGCAAAGCTCCAGTAGGTAAGAGTGTGCTGGAATATTTACTCTCCTTCTCGAGACGTGATAATGGCTTTACGTCAGTATGATAGATAGTATTCCACACGTCGTTACCAAATTTATCCTTTTCGAAATCTCCAAAAAGCTTGTTAATATTTCTGTAAAGTGTCTTTGCATCAGGACGCTTATCAGGATCAGCATCACAACACCGCTCGGCAAGTTTCTTGTATTTCTCTGGCGCAGAATCAGGCATCGACGGTCGCAGTCCCTCACAAACACGTATCGCC